ACTGGTTTCTAGCTCTGTGTATTTCAGATCTGGTTTCTTCTGACAAAGGGCACATCCGGCACCAAAGGACACGACCACACAACTGCTGACCATGTGCCTTTGTGTCACGATGCCAGGTGAGTCGGCACAGTGGGTGGTAAGAGTATTGTTGGAGATGATTTCTAAATTACATGTCTAGCAGCGCTTTCATTAGAAATGAAACTGACTGAAAACCACATAAATAGACCCCACAAAACTGAAAATAAATGTGTCTCTAACTCAAGTTCTCTTTGCTCCAACCCTAACAATATCCACAGCCATATCCATGCTGATAGGGATGTAGGAATGAGAAGACAGGTCTCAACTGGTTTTAGATAAAATAATTTATTTTTGTATATTACTTAAAAATATACACCCAGGCCAGCTGGTGGCATGATAGGTAAGGCAACTGGAGCCCATGTGGCTGCCTCTGCAGTTCGAGTCTTGGACCCAGTGACTGGAAAAACACATGAGGCATGTATACATGCCCCAAATCCCAAAAGTGCAAGAGGAAGACCCAGTGTGAGCATCCTTGCTTTACAATCAACCCACCTCTGCTCGGCACATAGCAAGGTAAGTGTTAGCTAGTTATTGGTTCCATTTTCTGGCAAGTTTTTCTCTTGTGGTGGCAAGACAGTTGCATTCAACAGCTCCAGCTTCATACCTTGACAAGTTTTAATACAGTAGGAATGATAAGTTGTCTCTTTAAGAACTTCATGTGCCAGAATTTGCTTGAATTACACCAGCCCGGGCCTCGAGTCCAGTGAACCAAATATGGTGGTCAGGACGAGTCCATGAGCTGATCGGCCAGCCTTGACTACGTGCTGCATTCTTGCAGTTGGAACACCACCCAAACCAGAGGGTAGGAAGTGGGGAGGAGGGCTGGCTTTCCACTGAAAATTTGGGAAAATTGGAGGAGTTCTGAGTATTGAACGGAAAAATAGATGTTCACTTACTCTAGGTGTGTAGCCAGCTTTGAGAGGAGAGAGTGGTAGGAAGAAAGCCTAGCATGAGAGAAGGGCTGACAGAATGGAAGCAAGGGTGCCCACGGCCTCCTCCTGCCTGGGTCAGATCTTCCCTAACGGGCCCACAGGCCTGTCCCTCCCTTGAGGATCCACTGGCCTAAGTGAGGAGCATGTGTCCTCCAGCCCTGCTCCAGGCTGAGCCTGTTTGTCCCTGGACTGTCTCTGTCTTGCCCTGATGTTTGTCCTTCTGGCCCCACTGCCTCTTCAGAGCACTTGAAGGGTCAAGATGGGAGAACTTCAAGATTTAAACCTGAGGCCAGCTGCTCTACTTCTCTAAGCCTGGTCCCTCCTCTCTCCCACCTTGGGTCTCAACCAAGTTAAATCCTAAGTCTCTTGGGGCCAGCAGGTGGCGTGGTGGTTAAGGTGCTGGACTTCCACATGGTCAATCACGATTTGAGTCCTGAACCTGGGGGCTTCGTCCCTCACTTGCCCTCCCTCTCTCTCTCTGGTGAGCACATGTGCTTTGTACCAAGTTGAAAAAAAATAATGAAGAATAAGATGAAATGAATAATTCTTTTTGGAGAGATTTTCACTGTAGGGCGCGTGCGCTCGCCAGACAGACAGAGAGAGACATAGAGACAGAAAACGAGAAATCACCCCCCAGGGGGGATGGTCACGCCGCAATCCCTTCTCCTCCATTCTCCTCTCGGGATCTTGGGCACGCACGCACACGCGCCCGGCGTGAGTTTTAAGCCACCGGGTCCGGGACATGAACCGCGGTCAACTACGTGGGAATCCAGCGACATAGCCATTACGCTAACTGCTGGTTCCCAAATGAATAATTCTTAAAAAAAATAATCCTAAGACTCGGCACATAATTCATGAGAAACTGCTGTTGGAGGGGCCTAAACATGTCTTCTCATCCATGTAGAACCCTGTGGCTCTCCCACAGCGGGAGAAGCCAAGTTCGATGTGTTGAGTAAGAGTTTTCAATATTTATATATTCGCAAAACATTTTTTTTTTTTTAATATATTTTTTTTTTTTTGGAGAGATTTTCACTGTAGGGCGCGTGCGTTCGCCAGACAGACAGAGAGAGACATAGAGACAGAAAGCGAGAAATCACCCCCCAGGGGGGATGGTCACGCCGCAATCCCTTCTCCTCCATTCTCCTCTCGGGATCTTGGGCACGCACGCACACGCGCCCGGCGTGAGTTTTAAGCCACCGGGTCCGGGACACGAACCGCGGTCGACTACGTGGGAGTCCAGCGACATAGCCATTACGCTAACTGCTGGTTCCCTAGTCGCAAAACATTTTTGAGAATCCTGAGCTCTCCAGTAAGGTAGCTTGTAGCTACATAAGGCTACTGGACTCTTGTGCTGTAGTTAGTCTGAACTGTGACATACTTTAAGTGAAACAGTGGATTTGAAGACTTAGTATGAAAAAATGTGAAGTATTTCCTTAATATTTTTTATGTTGGTTACATGTTGAATTGATAATATCTTGAATTATTGGGTTAAATACATTATAAAAATTAATTTACCTATATTTTATGCCTCTTTTTAAAAGAAGAATTATTTTATTTAATTTTATTTCTTTACTTTAATTTGACCAGAGAGACAGAGTGAGAGCAGGAGAGAGAGGGAGAGAAAGAAAGTGAGAAAGCAAACCACCGGGTCTGGGACTCAAACGGTGGTCAGTCATGTGGGAGTCCAGCGCCCTTAACCACCACGCAACCTGCCATCCCCCTATCTTTATGTTTCTTTTAATGTAGCTACTAGGAAATTTAGTGTGACACATGTGGTCCCCACAACATTCCTGTTGGATAGGGCCACTCCAGACGCTTTTTCAGAAACATTCTGATGCACGTGTTCCCACAGAATTGTGTATATAATTTCAGAAGCCACTGGAAGGGCCCTAAATCCTATCCATGAACCCTGTCCCCAAATTAAGAATCCCTGGGGCCAGACGGTGGTAAAACTCCATGCTCTGTGAGGTCGACGTGTAGGGGAAGGTTCTGGGTTCTCATCTGGAGACCCTGAGTACACCAGGCATGTGTATGCCCACGATTCAGGGCAGGCTGAAGCTGGGGGTGGACTGCGGCACCAAGACCCATAGGGGAGCTATCTCTATATTTATCTATCTGTGAGTCTCTCACTGATGGGAGAAATAAATAAATATTTTTGAAAAGAACCTGAGTCAGGAATGTCATGGGGCCTATCTATCACACCAACAGAAGCACACAGATGGGGAAGCCGAGTGCCAGGCCCTCCTCCCTGTGGAGCCCGCTGTCCTCTGGGGGTGGAGGGGCGGGGTCCCTGGTCCTCTCTCGCTGCTGTGGAGAACTGTGGCTGGGGTCATGTCAGGGAGCATGCTGCTGCAGCTCTGCCTTCCAGGCCTCCCAAGCAGTTCCAGGCGGGGTCTGCATTTATTCAGGAAAATGTTAATTCACTCTCTGTGACTGTGGGGGGGTATAGTTCCTATGGTTCTGGGACTGCTCTGGGGCCAGTCTACCAATGACAAGGGAAGCCCTGCTGCGTGGGTTCTAAGCCAGTTTGAGCTCTGTCTGGGGAGGGGACAAGGAGCTTTCTGTCCAGAGAACAGAATTCCTAGTTCTGCCCCTCCCCAGGGGGGTGACTTTGTAACTTGCTTCATGTATGACCTGCTGTGCAATAAGTAGTTCCTGGGCCAACAGGTGGCATGGTGATTAAATGTGCTGGATCCCATGTGGCCAATTCTGCGGTTTGAGTCCCAGAGGCCTAAAAAATGCATGATGCGGCGTGTGCGTGTGCATGCCTGAAATCCCAAGAGAATGGAGGAGAAGGGATTGTGGTGTGGCCATCCACCCTGGGAAGTGACTTCTTACTTTCCCTCTCTGCCTCTCTCTAGTGAGTGGATGTGTCCTACGGCAAAAATAATCTTTTTCTTTTTAAGTTATTCTTTGTAGTTTCCTACATTTTACATTTTGCTTTTCATTAAATTTTACATCCGATTCATGCAGATTAGACGAAGTTCCCATTCAATTACTTTTCGCTTGTTTCTAAATCATTATTTATTTTCTGTTTTGGCTGATTCTGTTATAATAATGTTTTAGATGGATTTGGAGCAATTTTTAAATAATTAATGAAATGCAATTCCATTTCATTAATGTTCAGTTATATAATGAATTGATGGTAAAATGGCTGAGTTCCTGTCATTTCAGGAAAGCACTTAGTGCTGACGTGCCCACGGAAGAACTGAGAAGACTTCGCAAAGTTTTCTGCCATGATACTGATAATCTCAGTATCCCACGGGGCTTTTAGCTTTATTACAAATTCTGCCATTCGATTCTAATAGCATTCTGAGTTCTAGGACTAGCGGAACTGCAGGTGATGAGGGTGAGTGGAGGGCGAGGGGCCTGTGATCAGAGTGTCCCTACCCTACAGCTCTCTGGAGTGTGCTCAGCGGCAGGTGACCAGGAAGCGCTAGACCAAGGCCTGCCGCCTCAGTGAGCTGCTCTTAGTATTGTAGCCTGGACTCGTGCTGCACAGAGCTCCTGACGAGGCTGGCCTCTCGTATGGCCTCCGGCGCTCAGCCCTCTTAACTCCCGTCCCCAGAGGCCAGCCTAGCCCAGACAGAGCCGAGCTGTATGTGTTTCCTCAGCTCTGCCCCTTGCCCTATCCTCTGCTCTCAGCCTCAAGGGCACCAGCTTCCTGCCATGGCTCCTGCCGCTTGTCTGCCTCTCCCAGCTGCATCTTTGGTCCTGACACCACAGGTCTGGAAGGGGTGCTCCACCCCGTGGTGCCTGGAGCCCTGCCAGAGGTTTCTGGAGATGCTGGTTGACCCAGCCTTTGGGGAAGAGAGGAAGGTGCTGGAAGAGGGAGCGACCTGGGGGAGGAGTCCCAACCTGTTTATAAGATCGTGGCTCCTCAAAGGCTGGCAGCTTCAAAGCCAGTGCCATCCCGTTGGGACAGTCACTGTCGCCCACCTCAGAAGCCGGCATCTCGGCAGGGGCTGGGCCTAGAGTGGAACCAGAAGGGTTGGCATGGAGAACCTGTCACCTCAAGGACCACCTGGCCATCCTCACCAGGTACTAGTGTCTACCGGGCCCATGGGTACCAGTCAGGGCGGGACCTGGGGCTGGGGTGAAGTCTAAGAAGCTCGACACTATTGAAGTCAGGGGGACCCTGGTCTGTGCTAGACGGAGGCAGAGACCGAAAGCTCTGTGCTTGGGGATCTGGATTGGGGGGTGGGAGGGTAGGTGAGCAGGAACCATGGAACCGGGGGTATGGAGAAATGAGTGTGGTCAGCAGAGCCATGTCCACCACAAGGGACTAGGTAGGGGGAGGGCCCTTCTTCCCCTCCCCACCAAGGCTCGCAGCAGAGAACACGGTGGCTAAGTGTCTGTCACAGGAGACCCACCAGGCCCACAGCCTACCACTGCAGGCCAGTGGACTTCCTGGGATGCTGAAGCCCTGGGAACCCCTGTGCTTCTCAGCAGCTTGGGGACCCAGTCTCCATCTACTGCTTATGATTTGCTGGACCCAAGGGCTGAGGCCAACAGTCCACCACTGCTCACTTCAACCCTTCATCCCAGATTCTCATCCTTTGCCCGGACTAAGGCAAGCAGGACCAGCTCCTTAGGTGGCCCCTGGTGCCCCAGGCAGTAACTATGGGGAGGGCCGAGTGTGCCAAGGCCACTGCCCCAAAGGCCTTTGCCGCAAGGCTTCTGGAGCCTCGGCCCTGGGGCCCAGATCTGAGCTGGAGCCAGACATGCAGCTCCTGACTGCCATGGAGAGGACTCGTCTGTCCAGATAGCAAGAATCCTGGGGGCAGCTCAAGAGGGGTCCCCCTCCGTGACAATAACTGTTGCCCCAGCCTGAGGCTGGGGGACCCATCCATTAGTGAGGTCAGTGGAAACGTCCTCAATGGAGGTCAGGGAGGAGCTGGGGTTGCAGGGTGAAGAGAGAGAGGTCAGACAGGCCTGGCTCCATTCATCACCTCCCTCCTCTTCCCGCAGGAGCCCTGAACCCCAGAATAGCTGCCTATGGAGGTGTCTGAACTCCCCCCTTCAGCGCATTTCTTGGCCAAAGCTGTGTGCCCACCCTTTCCTGACTCTGCCCACTCTGGGTCCAGCCCCAGGGGTCAAACCAAAGACCAAGTTCAGTGACCGCGGGAGCCTGAGTCTGCCGCACACCTGGGAAGCACCTCACCCTAACTAAGCTGGTGTTCCAGGGCTGGGTCCCCATGCTCCAGCCTTCAAGTGGGGCCCTGTGGCAGGCAAGCACAGTGGTTTCGCCCAGCCTCTTTCCTGCTGGTTTGGGGCCCTGAAGGCAGGAGCTTGGCTGGCAGGGCAGGCTGGGCATCCAGCACTTGCTTTGGAACAGGCCTGCTGTGTGGCCTAGAGTGGCCATGTAGGCTGACTTTGGAAGGCTGTGTCCATGGCTCCCGCCCCTCTTCTCTCCAGCCTCCCCACTGTCCACATGGCCCTGAGACCCAGCAAGGGAAGGGGCAGGTCTACTCATTTCTTTCCTCTTGCCAAAGGCCCATGGGTTGCAGATATTCTGAGCCCCAGTCTGGGGGCTCGAGCTTCCTGGGCCACATGCCGTGGGCAGGGGTCAGCCCTGACCCCTCCCAAGAGGACTTCCTGGCAAGTACAGGCCTCAGGGCTCTCCACAGGGAGGAGAGTGGCCTAGGCTCCAGCATCCCTGCACAGGGGGAGAGGGAGTGACCAAAAGACCCTCAGCAGGAGGCACTCCCAGAGCCCTGCAGGCAGCTGGGTTGGAGAGCCCCCCAGAAGCATCTGGGTCAGTCATCAGTTAAGGCAGGTTTTTTGTTTGTTTGCTTGTTTGTTTGTTTGTGTTTTTTGTTTTGTTTTGTTTTGTTTTTAGAGAGAGATTTTTTGCTAGAGGATGTGTGTGCTCACGGAGAGACAGAGACAGAGAGACAGAGAGACCGTATGTGAGAAATCACCCCCCCTTGGGGGGGGATGGCCATGCAATCTCTTCTCCTCCATTCTCCTCTTGGGATCTTGGGTGCCCCCCACACACATGCCCAGCTTAAGTTTCAAGCTGCCATGTCCGGGACTCGAACTAAACCGCAGTCGACTACATAGGATTCCAGCAACATAATTATTATACCATCTGCTGGTCCCAAGGCAGTTTTTCAGGTGGGAGGATACTTCAAAAGGGATAGTGAAGTCCCTGTGCCCTCAGAGAAAATAATCATATTATCAATAGTTAATATATAACTGCAATTGTTATATTAGTCAAAAAATGTACGAAATTCCAGTGTCTAGACATCCACGGGGCCTGGGGAGAAAGTTGTGCACTTTTACAAAGAAGCAAAGTCCTGGAAGGTAGACCAGCACAAAGGTTGTGAGCTTGATTGAATCTAATTCTCAGCTCCTAATTCTGCGACCTTGGATAAGTTAACCTTTCTGAGCCTCAATCCTCTCACCTGTGAAATGGGAGTACTGTCTTATGAGGCCAAGGGAGGATAAATCAAGTTAGAATATGCAGTATGCTTACCACAGCGTCTAGAAACACAAGCACTTGATGAATAGTAACAAGAGCAATTGCCTAGAAAGAGCTTAGTCTTGGTTAAATGGTCTCCTCAGCATTCTACAGGCATTAATACTGCGAGCCTCAGAACACCCTGTGAAGTCAATACAATTCCCACCTCAGATAAGGAAAGGGAGGCACAGAGGAGGTCACACAGCAATGAAGTGGGCAGGACTAGGGTTTAAATCTAGACAACCTGGCTCTGGAGTCTGCCTTTAGCCCCCAGTAAAGTCCTGTCATTGTAAGTATTGTCACTGTCATACGATGCCCTGGGTAGTCTATACTGGCGATGGTCCTCAAGGTAAGGGACTGGGGGTTTCACCCTGCAGGAGAATGGTAGGGTTTCTGTGGTTGTGATGCTCGCAGTGACTGGAAGGAGAAATGGACTACTTGCTTAAACTGGGGGTGCTGACTGGCTAGAAAGTAATTAGAGACACCTCTAGCACACAGCCTGTGGACCTGTGGAGTCCTGGCCTGGCTTGGCCTGAGGGGCAGGGGAGCAAGGCTGGGCTGCCCCTGTCCCCAATCCTTGTTGACACTCAACACTCCACAGGGCACCAGCACCCCAGCCAGCACCTTCCGTGTGGCAGGAGAGGGGGAAATCTGGGTGCAGGGAGGAGATGGAATTAGGGGTCTGAAATGTCATTCAGTCCTAGTTACGACCTGTAGCTTAAGCCTATGGAGCTGGAAAGTGCTGGCACTGCACCTGATCCCCAAGAAGGCAGAAACGAGTCTTCCTTGCTGCAGGATTATGTGCCCTCGCCTGGGAGCTGAGCAGGCACACTCAGCATTGAGACACAGGACAGGGAAGATGCCAGGGTAGGGCCCTGAGTCACCCAGCTTTGTGCGGCCATCGCCCTTCAGGGTTCTTCATGGGGAGTGGAGTCAGGCCCCCATGAGCGCTGATTCAGCCCCTGCGGGCGGTATCTGTGCAGAGTGGAGACCAGTTGTGACCACGTGCAGGGAAGCGGGACTGGCCAGGAGAGGTGGGCATGGAGGGCACAGAGCAGAGAACACACTGTCTCCCAATGACGCCGTATCAAACGGCTTTCATGCAACGCCATGTTGCCTTGACCCCCTCAAGACGGGAGCAGAGTGGGTGGAGGGAAATAGGAGTCCAGGAAAAGATCCTTAGAGGGGGTCTAACCTGGTGGCAGCCTCTGTTTAGTGGCAGAAGCTCCGGTGTGGGCATGGAGTATGTCTATGGGTTCTTCACCAGGGCTACCAGAGTGTACGTCTCTAGGGGGCACCACTTTGTACACCTCCATATGAATGGCTCCCCTTGGGGCCTTGCCACCCCATGCCTGTGGAGTCCCCTCCTGGCCGGGGGCCTCCCATTGCCCTCTGCCCTCGGAGAGGTCACACTCTTCTCTGACAGCCCCTGCTCTAATGCTCTCCCTGCCCAGGCTCTTCCTGCATGGGAAGAGCGTACCCCCAGAAGTGGTCCTCTCTGACAAGCTCCCCTTCAAGGTGATGCAAGGCCAGCCACCTTCCTTGGCGTCGGCTTATAGAAGAGCCCCCCCACCCCCCGCGATCTATTCGCGTTAGCTCAGATGCCCGGGGCTTGTAAGATACCTGCGCAGGGGGCACCAGAGAGCCATACAGCCGGCCCAGGGGATTCCAGTAGGCCAGAGACCTCCACAGTGGGGTCTGGGGCTATCCCCTAGTGACCTGTCCCCAACAGGGCCCAGCCACATCCTGCTGCCCTCTGCTTTCCCTCCTGCCACCTACTCTCTGCCCAACTTCTCTGTCCCTGAGCTTCTGCCATGCAGCTTCTTGTCCCACAGCACCTGGGCTTTGTGTGTGGTCTGCCATGGCCTAGTTAATTCACAGCGACTTCTTGCCCACACCACCCTGGGACAGCCTGATGTTCTTGGGATTTCCTTACTCACATCCCAGACAGTGCACATGGGCTGAGCTTGGGTTGAGCAGATGGGGATATGACAGACCTGCCCTGGGCTCCCTGGGCCTCAGCCTCCCTAGCATCATGCACCCACTTCCTATCTGGAAGGACTGGAAAGTAGGGTGCTGGGCAGCAGGGTCACTTGTGTCACCGAAAGGCTGCCTTCCTTGGGAGCTCTGGCTGTGGCTGCTCCCGAACTGCCCAGTGTGGTGGCTACTCCTTTGTCCCCCTCTCCTTGCTCTGTCCCCTGCACTGTGCATTCCTGTCCCTGTAGGAGAAGAGGTCTCAGATTCCACCCCAGAGTGACCTGACATTCTCCAACTGTTGCAGCCCAGAACCATGACCTCAAGGACAGATGGTTCCCAGGATACGCTCCCCGCATGACTGGCAGCATGACAGCGTCACCAAGTCTGGGGAACCTGCCTAGGGCCTGGTGTTGCGCGGCTGCTCCAGCGTGCAGAAGGGATGACTAGTTGACTTCTCTCTCCAGGTGGAGGCCTCTGCCTGCTGCTGGCTGACCGTGAGGGTCCTGGAGGCACGACGCCTGCCCCGGGCTGACCTGTGTGAGTACTTGGTTCCTGGCTCCAGTGAGCACAGGGAGGGCAAGACGCGTGGGAAGGGATCAGACGAGTGCCTTGGGGCTGATCTGGGCCACCATGGTGGACCCAGGAGGCCCCTGGAGGAGGTGTGAGGACGCCTCTCTCACAGCGGTTTTCCTGGCCTTGACAGTGAGCGAGGCAGACCCATACGTGGTCCTGCAGCTGCCAACCGCACCTGGAATGAAGTACAGGACCCAAACAGTCACTGACTCCAGTAACCCCGTGTGGAATGAGACCTTCCGTTTCCTAATCCAGAGTCAGGTCAAGGTAAAGGCTGGCATGTCCGGGCCACTTACTGTACGGGCTGTACCCCACAGGGAGAGTGGTTGGAGTAGAGCACACTTCCTCCAGGGCTCTGTTGGAGACATTTTGGGGGGGTGTCTGTGCCCCAGCCCAGGCTGTGTGTGAGAGAACATGTGAGGGAAGGGGTATGGTCCTCCCTGCTGGCTGTAGGACACACCTGTGGCAATATAGGGCCTCTCCAGGCCTCTCTGTGGAACGGGGACAGTGAGAGTCCTCTCCTGACTGGGCTGCTGTGGGGTTAAGTGAGACAGTGCACAGACCACAAAGCAGGGCCTGGCACATTCCTTAGGGTAAGCCTTAGGGAACTGGCAAGACAGGGAAGAGGGAGATAGCAACAAAGAGACAGAGATAGAGGTAGAGGTGGATTAGCGTTAGAGAGAGAGCCAGCCGGTGGTGGTGCTCATAAGGGCAGCCAGATCCCACACGCTATGTGGTTCAAGACCCAGATCTGGCAGCTTGAAAAACAAACTGGACACACATGTGTGTGTACCCAAAATCTTGAGAGGAGAATGGAGGAGGCATTGTGGTGTGGCCATCCCCCTCCCCCCCCGACCTCCCGAGTGTGCTTTCTGTCTCTCTATCACAAGCACACATACCCTATAGCAAAAAAAATTTCTAGAGAGATATTTTTGCTATAGGGCACATGTGCTTGCCAGAGAGAGACAGAGAGATAGAGAGACAGAAAGCGAAAATTTCCCTTCCTGGGGGGGGGGGGTGGTGGGTGACCACACTGCAATCTTTTCTCCAGTCTGCTCTCTGGATTTTGGGCACACACACACACACGAGTGTTCCCAGTGTGAGTTGCTAAGCTGCCAGGGCTGGGACTCGAAGTGTGGTCAATTATGGGGGAGTTCAGCAACATAATCATTAAGCCATCTGCTGGTTCTGAGAGATAATTCTTTGATTTTTTTTTTCTTAATTTTCAAATTAAGCTTTGTTTGTTTGTTTGTTTGCTGTGGGGGATGTGTACTTGCTAGAGGCAGAGAAGGGAGAAAGAAGGAGAGGAGGAAAAGGGCGAAATCATGCCCCTGAGAGTGGCAACAGCCCATCCCTTCTCCATTCTCCTCTCGGGATTTTTGGCATGCCTGGTGAGATTTTCAAGCTGCTGAGTCTGGGATTCAAACTGCCCAGTTGGCCATATGGTATCCAGCCACTTTAACCTCTGTGCCACCTGCTGGCTTGACTGAATTTTATTAATTTTTTTCTTATTTATTTCTTTAATTTTATTTATTATTATTATCTTTTAAGTTTATTATAGGGCATGTGTGCTCCTCCAGAGAGAGAGAGAGTCAGGGAAAACGGGAATGAAAGGAAGCCACCAGGTCTGGGACTCAAACTATAGTTAGTCATGTGGGAGTCTAACACCTTAACCACCACATCATCTGCTGGGCCCCTGAATTTTATTTTTGATAAAAACAAAAAGTGAGGCTGACTCAGTGGTGTAGCAGTAATGTGCTGCTCAAGCAGAGCTGGGTCTATATGGAAGATTATGGGTTTGGCTCCCCGGTCCGCCTGCACACACTGGGTATGTGCCCATCATCCCGGCTGGAGGGCTGCCGGGGCAGCAGTGTGAAACCCTGTTAGGGTGCTGGTCTTGCTCACTCTCAATAAATAAATAAATAAACTTTAGAAGAATGAAGGAGGCCAGCTCCATGGAGCAGTGGTAATGTACTGCTCAAGAGAAACTGGATCCCACGTGGCAGCCACAGTTCAAATCCCCAACCCAGTTGGCCTGGAACACACAGGCATGTGTGCAAGTACCCAGGATCTGATAGGCTGGAGGACTGAAAGAAGGGGACCATGGTGTGACCAGTCTCTGTAGAGGGTGCTCTTTTTCTCTTAGGTGCTCACACACACATTTGTGTTCTATCATGAATAGAGAAAAAATGAGGGGGAATTAGAACTTCCCTGGATTTCATTATATGGCACTTTAAGAAAATATTTAATTTTATTTATCATTATCATTTAAAACATTTTTGCTATGGGGAACATGCACTCTCTAGAAAGAGGAGAGAGAGAGAGAAAGTGAGACAGCAAGCCACCAAGTCTGGGATGCGAACAGTGGTCAGCCATGAGAGTCCAACACCTTAATCAATGTGCCAACACTGCCCTTTTACAACACTTTTTAAAAGTTTTACAGTTATTGATATATATATGTCTCTCTCTCTCTCTATATATATATATATTTTTTTTTTGAGAGGTTTTCGCCATCGGATATGTGCATTCACCAGAAAGACAGAGAGCGAAAGAGAGACAGAAAGTGAGAAATCACCCCCCAGGGAGGATGGCCACACCACAATCCCTTCTACTCTGTTCTCCTCTTGGGATCTTGGGCACGCACTCACACGCGCCCAGCGTGAGTTTAAGTTACCAGGTCTGGGACTCGAACCACAATCAACTACATGGGAATCCAGCGACATAGCCATTACATTAACTGCTGGTCCCAGTTATTGATATTTTGAAGTATGAAAGTGTGGGGGCATGATAATCTTTTCTGGCTCTGGGCATGGTGTGAGTAATGAGTAGTAATAGGCTGTTTCTGTTCCTGGCTCCTAGAACATTCTGGAGCTGAGCATCTATGATGAGGACTCAGTCACAGAGGATGACATCTGCTTCAAGGTCCTCTATGACGTCTCGGAAGTCCCTCCAGGCAAGCTGCTCCAGAAGACCTTCTCCCGGAGTCCCCAGGTGGGCGGGAGCCTAGGCCCCCCTCTTCCTGCTCCAGGCTAGGGAAGGTGCTGTTTCTCTCTCAGGTTGCAGTGCTGCTGAACGCATGCATAGAAAGTGTAAATCTCTTCCAGAGACACTTGCATTTCCATAGGAGAGGCTTGACTTCATGGGTGTAGATTGAATCACCCAATGGAGAAATTGTAGTCATCTGTGGCAGGAAGGTTTAAGAGGAGAACTTCCAAACCTTCCTGGAAACACAGCACAGCAGAACCAACCTGAAGGGCAGTAGAGGGCTCTGTCATGTCCTGCTCCGTGAAGGACTCGGTCCTCTTGCTGCTGCAGGCTGCCGTGGGGGAAGCAGAGCTCTGGCGTCCCCCACAAGGGGTAGAAGAAGTGGCTCTTGGGCATCTCAAGCCTGGTTTGGCTGGGCTCCTAGTCTTCCCTTCAGCCTTGCCCAGAGTTGGAGGACGCGGAGGGAGGGAGACCCGTTCTCTGCAGATTTACCAGCGGTGGCTCACTGGGGCGGCTAGCCCGTCCTGTCCTCCGCCTTAGTTCCCTCCTCTGTAAATGGAAGTAATTGTAGTGACGTGCCTCCCTCACATGGAACTGCGGCACCTCTAAGGACATGAGTAAATGTTGACGACTTGCCCGTCCTCTTTGATTTCAGGGAGAGGAGGAGCTGGACGTGGAGTTCCTGCTGGAAAAGACGTGAGTGATAGCACACAGCCCGGGGAGCAGCTCAGGACCGCAGCTCCACTCAGGGAAA